CCCCCACCCCGTTACAGCCTGTTCCACCACTACTGCCGCTTCAATGGAGGTCTGCGTATGGTGTCCTACACCTGCATCTGTGGAAGGTTAGAGGTCGTTGTTTTGTTGTACTGTCAAAGTTACTATTTCTATCATTTGGTTTTGTCCCCTCCCCCAACCCCCCCTCTCCGTTTTCTTTTGTTTATACAGCGTCTTCCACCATTACTGCAGCTTCAATGGGGGGATGAGGATGCTATCCTACATTTGCGTCTGTGGAAGGTCAGACCAGCATGCTATGATCTTCTCATCCGCACACTCACAATTCCATCCAGTTATACGTGACAATATTAAATGGTTGAAAAGTGCATAGAGCGTGCTGTAGAGCATGGATATATGTGCTATATAAGTGCTATTACTGTTATAAATGTGAGAGATGCTGACCTTATGTAGTTGCAAGCACTGTAAAACCTCTACTAAAATTAAACAAAAACAAGAGATGCTGACATAAATCGATACATCAATTTTTTTATGGGTGGAGTTTGTTCTATTTATAATTATGTAAAAATAAAAAACATGTCAAACTCCTTCTTTTCTTTTTGTGTAACTTTGGTCTAATTGTGTTGCTACTGCTATAAAACTCTTACAAAAACTAAAACTGAACTTCACTTATTATAAATAAGGTTGATTACCGTTCCCACTTCCTTTCAACGGGGGCTTCAGTGAGTGAGAGGTCTGGGTGTTCGCGAAATTAAGTTGGATGGTCTTTGTGATGTGTCCATGAGCATGATGCGGTAACCCTAGCTGAAAGATAAAGTGCACCTTTGTTGTGACTTACAGTTGCGTGTTTGAAAACTTGTCTGTGTTTGTGTAATATTGTGTCCTGTGGCCTTGATTCAATGTCTGAATTATTTTATGTTTGCATCGTATCTGACCCTCAAGATGTATTTGATTTAGTTAAAAAATTGTTATTTAGTTAGGAAATGTATTTACTTATATGAAGGGGATGGACTAGAAAGGAAAAACGTTTTTTTTTTTTAGAAAGTAGACTACAAATTTTATTTCTTGTCAAGAAAAAAAACGTGTCTGTTTTTGTGTAATGTGTCATGTGACGTTGATGTAATATCTGAATAATCTTATGTTATGTTCGCATCATATTTGACATTGCAAGTGGTAATTTATTTAGATATTTATTTAGAAATTCACATACTTATATGAAGTGGCTAAAAGGGAAAAAAAAAGTTTTTTAATAGACTACAAATTTCATGACTTGTCAATAAAATATTTACACTTCGTGATGCTTAAGAACTTAGACGTCTCTACAAAGACAATAGCAATGTTATCCTAGAGGTTCTTAATCTTCCTAATGCCCTTCAGCTCTTGGTAGATACTCATTGCAGTTTTCTCATATTGTATGCCAAGCATCACATTCTATTTCTAGTACATTAACATTCATTATACAGTCTGCCTGTACACTGTAATGTGTCCAGCTATGTGTTTGATTGTGTGTTTGTTTTTATATGTGCATGTGTTTATATATTATATACATCATCACTGTCATCTATAGAAATGTGTAACTCCAAATTTTTTTGTTTCCTTCTGCTATGCAGTTCAACAGAAATCTTTACTTTTCACTGGCATCTGTGGTTCAGTAGTTGGGCGCTTTGCCGTCACATGCAGGAGACAGGAATTCAATTCTCAAAGGGGGAGAATTTTTATCAAGTATCTCTGTCTTTTTGCTGGGATGACGTACCTCTCTCAGCTTGGGTTGGCCCTGGCATACAGAGCTAAAGCCCACCTCTTAAATGATCAAAGTTGTGTTAGTTGGGGGTGTAAAAGGTTGGCATTATTTTAAAACCCCAAAAAGATGGGTGGTTGGCGGGTACTCTGGTGTGGTTTGCTTCCTCTTTCCAATCAAACATCTATCGTCCTTATCTCCCCTCCTTCTTTTTTATGTTTGTTACTCTCTTGTAACACCTCTTATCTTCTGGCACTCATATGACCTTATGCAGTTACGAGTGCCGTAAAACCTCTACTAAAACATAAAACAAACCCCAGAAAAAAACTTTTTTTCAAGTGACAGTGATGATAATACATATAGCCTAGTTAGTTTGTATGTCTTTGTACCCATGAACAAGTTTGGTAGATTAAAGTAGGTTGTGCGAGCGCCGTAAAACCTCTACTAAAACAAACAAACACAAAGTAGGTTGTCAGTGCTCCAGTGTGTCACATGTGTTATATTATATATATGAGTTCATGTCAGCCACAAAGTCCAGTCTATTTCCCCACGGGTGGTGTGCAAGTGCTCTGGTAAGTGCTGTAAAATCGCTTACTTAAACAAATGTCTATTTCCCCAGTGGTCACAACGGTTCTGTGCTCCACTACGGACACGCCGGCGCCCCCAACAGCAAACAGATCCAGGATGGAGACATGTGGTCAGTTATTTGTAGGCTGTCTAATGTCCAGTATTTCCTTCTAATGCCTCTTTTTTTTTTTTTTTCTCTCGATTTTTTTTTTCGGATTCCTCGGGATTGGGGATGTATTTTGAATGTTTTTGACTTGCCATGTATCTATGAGGTCTTGGTTGTTCAATATCTGTGGTAGGCTTATTTTTTATTTTTATATTTTATGGTCTTTTATTAGTTTGAGTTCTTTTTACACACATATGGATGCACACATGATGCATACACTGTATTCATACAAAAATAAAGCTCACAGCACACACACAATGTCATTCAAAATACGCAATGCTCATGAAATAACTTTCAAAGTAACACGCAAGTACCCAGCACTCACAAATATAACACACTGGATGCTTATCTCACACAAAATAATGTGCAAAAATACACATCTCTGCAAACAGTAATGTTAGTCTAACAGTCATCCCAAATGACTATAGGCCCTGTAAGGCATGAGGGGACCAGGCTGAGAGTGATTAAAAGGGGAAATGACATGAATGAAGAGGAATTTCAGCAGCCTTTTCTCTGCTTGACTTGATGATATTGAATCTTTCTCCAGCCTGTTTGACATGGGCGGAGAGTACTACTGCTACACCTCCGACATCACCTGCTCCTTCCCGGCCAATGGCAAGTTCACACCAGACCAGAAGGCCGTCTACGAGGCCGTGCTGGCTGCCAGTCTGGCCGTCATGAAGGCTGTGAAACCTGGTGAGTGCGTTTGTCAGTGCGGAAGGATGTGGGAGCGTGTGTGTGTGTGTGTGTGTGTGTGCATGTGTGAGTGTGTAAGATTTTAGAGTTGGGAACAGGAGGCATGTAGTAGTCAGCAGGAAAAGCAAGTTCTTCCTTGTTGTGTTTTAGGGTAAATAATGATAATTGCATTTCTATAGCGCATATCCTCGCTTTACAGCATGTTCTACGTGCTTTACAGCTATAATTTCCCCAGCAGACTCTGGAACTCTCAGACACCTTCTCAGCCTCCTGGAATCTCTCTCTCTCTCTCTCTCTCTCTCTCTCTCTCTCTCTCT